AATATTTTTTCCTGAACTTTAGTCCTGCATTACCAACTGTCTGCTGGGCATCTCCACTTGGATGTCCCATAAACATCTTACACTCAACACACACAAAAGTGAATCCATTAAATTTTTCCTCATATCCAATTCTCCTCCAAACTTCCCTCTTTATGTTAATGGTACCATCATGCTTCCAGTCAACCAAGTTCCTAACCTTCAAATAATACCTTCCTCCTCCTCCTGCTCCTCCTCCTCCTTCTTCTACATCCATATCTAATCAGTTGCCAAATTTAGAATCTATCTCTGAATCATCTCTTGCATCCGTCCTCTTCTCTCCATTCACATAGCCTCTGCTCTAGGTCAAGCCTTTCTTCCTTCTTGACTGGACTACTGCAGCTGGACCAGATTTCCTGCTTCCTGTTTGTCCTTTCTCTAGTTTTTCCTCCACAAATTGATATTTCAAAAACACAGATCTGACCACTTCACTCCCCTGATCAAAAATCTTCATTGACTCTCTATTACATCTAGGATAAAATCCATCATCCATAGTCTTCCATGAAATTTGTCCACTATCTAGCTCCTTCCAACTCACCTTTCGAATCCTACTACATATTTTTCCCTTTAACACACTCTCTATTCTAGTTAAACTAGCCTCCTAGCTGTTCCCTATACATGATATTCAATTTCCTGATCTAAGACAACTCTAAAAGACTCATGATAGAAAATGCTATCCACATCCAGAGAAAGAACAATGGAGTCTGAATGCAGATCAAAGCATACTATTTTCACTTTATTTTTTTTCATGGTTTTTTCCTTTTGTTCTGTTTCTTCTTGCACAACATGACTAAGGTGGAAATGTGTTTTACATGATTGGACAAATATAACATATCAGATTGCTTGCCATCTTGAGGAGGGAGGGAAGGAGAGAGAAAAATTTGGAGCCCAAAATCTTATTAAAAAAAGAATATTGAGAATTATCTGTGCATGTAATTGGAAAAAGTAAAATACTATATACATTATATTCAGTTTCCCATCCCTGTGCTCCCATGCCTGGAACACAATCCCTCTTAATGCTGATCTTCTGGAATCCCTAAGCTTCTTCAAGACCTAGCTCTGGTGCTATCTCCTATATCAAGCCTTTCCTGGCTCCTGCTAGTCACTAATAGTCTCTCCTTGAAATTGCTTTGTATTATTTTTGTATACACTTAGCATTTGCTTATCTATATCTACATATTTTATACACACACATATGTGCATATTATATATATATATATATATATATACACACATATATACATGTGTGTCTGTATACTAGACTATAAGCTTCTTGAGGGCAAGAACTACTTCGTTTTTATCTTTGTATTCTCAGCACCTATTATATATCATGGTATGCATATAAGAAAATGGGTATTGAATAAATTTAGTAGGCATAAATGTAAAGCCCTATACTTGAATTCAAGAGGCAAGGTCTCAGGAAGTGATATTCCTACCCTACTCTGTCCTAGTCAGACCCCATGTGGAATTTTGTACCTTTGGTACCACCTTTTAGGAAGAAAGTTGATAAGCTAGAGGAGCATGTGCAGAGGAAGGTGACCACAATGGCAAGAGGACCTTATGGTATGAGAATTAGTTGAAGAAAATGGGAATGTTTAGCCTGGAGAAGAGACAACTTAGGGAGAATATACTAGATATCTTCAGGTATGTGAAAACACAGGAAAGAGGGATCAGATTTATTCTGTTGACCCCAGATGACAGTCAGAACCAGGAGTGGTTCTATCTTGGAAGTTACAGACAGGCAGTCTGATATAATTACAATTATTCATAAATGGAAGGGGCACCTTAGGAGGTGCTTCCCCTTCCTATTCCCCAGATGTCCTGGATAACCATTTGTTAGAGAAGTCATAAAGGAGATTCCAATTCAGGTATGGGCTAGACGAAACGATCTTAGAGTTTCCTTCCAACTCGGAGATTCTCCAAGCTATTGGACCCAAACAAAGCTGGAGTTGACTAGCACGTTTCTTTGAGGGACGTTCGGAAAGTTAAGTAGAATCACAGAATGCCACAACTGGAAGTAACTTTGTAGGTCATCTAGTTCAACTGCCTCATTTTTCAGTTGAGCAAACTGAGGTCCAGAGAAATGAAATCATTGTCTCCAAGTCTGTGTGACCTTTGTTAGTGGTAGAACCAAGGAGACCCAAGTCTCCTGACACCTCTTCCAGGACTCTTTCCATTGCCATTAAATATCTTTTTAAAGTTAGGGACAACAAAAATAGCAATAATAATGATAATAATTCATTTATACAGTGCTTTGAGGTTTGCAAAGTTTTCCAGATACGTTATCTTATTCAAGGTAAGAACAAAAGGCAGGCAGCAGTATGGTGCAGAGGAAGAAGTGCTGAATTTGGAATTGGAAGCCCTGGGTTTGAATCCCACCTGAGCAAGTAACTTAACATCTCTGGGCCTCACTTTCTTTTTTCTTTTCTTCCTTTTTTTTTGGGGGGGGGGCAATGGTGGTTAAGTGACTTGCCCAGGGTCACACAGCTAGTAAGTGTTATGTGTCTGAGGCCAGATTTGAACTCAGGTTCTCCCGAATCCAGGGCCGGTGCTCTATCCACTACACCACCTAGCTGCCCCCCAAACTCGGGTTATGGGCTTTACTTTCATGAATCATACAATAAGAAAGTTGGAGTAGATGCTTTCTGAGGTACTTTCCCACTCTAAACCTATGATCCTATGAATAAAAGAGAAAAAGTACTAGGAATGGTAACATTTAAGAGATTATATGTAAAGATTCCCAATTATATCCTAGCGAATCTTTCCTTTTTCCAAAAACTGTTCTAAAAGTCCTACCTGTTTTAAGATGAGTTTAGTTTTTCAGTCTAGCTTTTTTAAAATGAATAATCTTGTCATTAATAAAGCTGGTTATAAGTCTGGGAACCAGATGACGTCTAGGATCTCCTCAACTTTTTATTGCTGATTCTGAACTACCATATGCATCTCAAGAAAAACACCCCACCTACTGTAGCTCATATGAGCAAGGCATCCTACCACCACCTGGTGGCAGCAGACCTAAATTTCAGGGAATTAACTGCCTTGGAAACTGAATTTACAAAAACAAATGAAGACTCTTTGCGGCAACCTCTTTAACTCTGATCAAGGTCAGGGTCACCATCTCAGATTACGTAAATGAAGGGTGTGACTATTCTTAACCTAAATGATGGAAAAAGGAACTCCCTGAGTTTTACATGAGAAGGCGACAATGTCTCTCACTCTCTTCCTATTCCAGTTGCAGGGATTCTGATGTCAGATCTGGAGATCATCGAAGATATAAAGCTCTCCTTTTTTTTTACACCCTCCCCCCGCCCCAAACATATGAGCCACAGAGGACCAGGTTAAATGATTTGCCCAAAGTCATACAGCTAAGCTGGGAGTCAAACCCACGTTCTCTGACTCAATTCAGTTTCATTTCCTGAGCACCTCATTGGTGGTTGTACCTCCCTAGCAAAGTGATGACAAAGCATTTGTGTACCTTGGGTGAGCTGTGAAGATTTTCCTCAACACGCCATCCCTTGGAGCCCATTGGAGGCTTTGATTTTTAACCATACCATGTGTGAATTCACACCATAGACTCATCCTACATGCTGCTGCCAATGGCATTTTCTGGCATTAAAAATATGTGAGTTTGTAAAAAAAAAACTAAGGCAGAAAGGGACTGAGATGTGTCAATGGAAGACATACACCAATGAAAACAGGGATGCTTGAAATACTGAAGAACTAACATCACAAAAAAGCATGGTCTAGAGAGAAAAAAACATGGGATTTGGTGTTCAGAGACCTGGATTCCAATCCCAGACATACCTGTGTGACTTTGGGCAAGTTGCTGGTCATCTTTGGACGTCAATTTCCTCATCTATAAAATGAAGGCATTGGACTAGAAGGCCTCTGATGTTTCTTCCAGGTATAACCATACGATCTTAAGTAATATTTAAAAGCGTCCCCAGAGGGAGGTAAGAAACTGGGTGTGGAACACTCAATTGATATGGTTTTTGGGGAAAATATTTTTTGCTGAACAGATTTTTTAAAAATCTCTTTTTTATTCTTTATCATGAGGGCTTGCTTTCTGGGTGGAGGATATGTTGAAAAATGAAGGCAATATAAAAACAAAAGATAGCAAAATAATTTTTTTAAAATGTGTCCTTCATTATGTCCTCTGCATGTTCCACTCTATGTGACCGCCTACATTGCCTGCCCTTAGATCTGGTTCTTTCTGGGATAGAGGCAGAGCTATGGCCTTTGGACCTCTTTAAGCAGAATTTTGAAAGTGAATTAGCAATTCCTTGGCATTATAACAGGACTGGGTGTGGTCCGTCTAGCACAAATAGGGAGGTGTATTCTACATAAGTACCAGCAGAGGGAGTGCTACACTCAACTCACAGGAATACAGAGTCTATACCTAAAGGATGAAGAGAGAGATATGGTCAAATCTCTCCTCTAAGCTGTACCAAAGAAAGGACCTACCAGAAGTGCTGGTATTTTCACCTACTCACAGGACACCCTCCTTCCCCAATAGTACTTCTGGTTTTCTAAGCCATCTCATCTTTCTGGAACTCATAGGATCATAGATATAAGAGCCAGAAGAAAAAAAAAAAACAACTTAGAGGCTATCAGACCCCTTCATTTTCCATTTGAGGAAAGGGAGGCCCAGGGAGTTAAGTGACTCACTCAACTTCACAAAGCTACTGAGTGTCCAAGACAGGATTTGAACCCAAGTCTTCCAGAGCCCTATCTACTATATCATACTGCCCACCAATTCTTTCCTTTTAGATATCTACTCTCCTCCTAGAGATTCTCTATATCAGAACTTGAAAAAAATCAACCTTCTACTCAGCATTCGGGCCACAGACAGCTCTATCTCTTCTTTCAGTCTTCCATCATAAGCACGGACCTCTTGATTGACCCTGCCTAGTAGATGAGCCTCCAGAGCCCCACCTCTGCTCCCTGTGTAAGTGTATACTTACACTCCAGCTGGCACCAGGGGTTGGAACTTCCATTGCTCCTCCTCACAGTCCAGGTAAAGACGATTCATGATCTTATTCTTCTCCTCGGGAGGGATGAAGTTTTCAATGATCAGGTATCTGGGAATGGGAATGGGAGGCAGGAGGGACAAGAGAAAAAGTGAGCATGGTATAGGTGATAAAGGATGGATTGGAGAATATATAATAGGCATATACCAAAAGCCAAAATGGGGAGGTTAGTGGAGGAAAACAGAAGGAAAGTAGGCATTGGTAAAAACCAGACAAAACAGCTGAATTCAACATCTCTAGAACCAAACAACAAGGTCTAGCAGTTGAAACTGGAAAGCACCTAGTGTGGGCTAATGCATAGTAGGGTTTTTGGTAACTAGGAGGAAGAAATCCTCAAAGTCTCCTGACTTTTCAGCTTTAGGCCTATCTGACCTCTATTCTGTCCTTAGGGAACACACCATTCTACTCCATGCCATGCCAAGCCCTGACTCTCCAGCCTTAGTCTTAGGGAAGATGAGACTTAAGTGTAGCAGAGGTGATCAGAAGAGCCCCTGCTTAATTTCATGAGTTCTCTCAATCCAGTGCTACATGCGGGAATGGTCAGTGCTGCAATGGGGAAATCCTGGCAAGGGAGCCCGGTAACAAAAAGCCTCAATGCAAAGGAACAGGGAGTGAGAGAGGGGCTAGAGAGTTTCTAAGTGGGCAGAAATGACAAGGTAGGAAGGGGAGAGATGCCTCTCACTTGAGCTTGAGTTCCCGGGTCTGTTCATTCTGTGCTTCCTCCAGGTCTTGCCGCACACGGATGTACTCATCGTGCTGGTCTTGGATTTCTGCCTTCACTGCCTGCAGCTTAGCGTAGAGCTAGACAAGAGATAGACTTTGTATTTTGTTTTGTTTTTAGGCAATTGGGGTTAAGTGACTTGTCCAAGGTCACACAGTTAGTAAGTGTCCAGTATTTGGTGTGAGACTGGATTTGAACTCAGGTCCTCCTGACTTCAGGGCCGGTGCTCTACCTACTGTGTCACCTAGTGAGTAGGTATTTTAACCATGTTTCCCCCTTTCTCATCAGCAACAGAATGGAGAGCATTCAGAGAAGATGTCCAGATGCTAAGGAAAGGGTGTGCATGGTTAACTACCACAGTGGAAGACCTTTGTTCAGGACCCTGGGAACTTCTGGGAGGCTCATCTGCCCAATGGCTGGACTCTAGCCTCACATCCTGGCCAGGCCCTAACAGAAGCTCTGCACCCACTCACAAGCTCTGTTAGAGCACCTGCTGTCTTGCTGATGTGAGTGAACTTCCCATCATTGAAGAGAGTCTCTTGTTCTCCCTTTTCCAGTTTCTGGAACCCACCCCACCCCCAGACCCACCCTGGGTCTGTTACTTCTCTTTCCCTCCCTCCCTCTAGGTGTAGTCTGACAACACCCAAGTAATTACTTGGGAATGACACAGTAAAGAAGAGAATTTATCTTTATCTAAGACTTGGACAGTATTGGCATGCTATGGTCACAGGGTCACAAAGGGTCAGACACTATTGAACAATGACAAGACTTTGAGATTAGGAATGAAAAAGCTTCCCCATCTCTTGGCTGGCTCAGGGGAACAACACCTACTTATATAGACTGGTAAACTTCACTCTCCTGGACCCCAATAGCTTAATTAGAAGTGTAGAGGAGAAAAAAAACCCACATATATGTACTCACACAAAACTGCGGAGGGGAGGCCTTTAGACAGCCAAACTACCTTTGTGTAGGCCAGAGGGGGGAACTTGTGGCCCTCTACGTCCTCAAATACTGCCCTTTGACTGAATCCAAACTTCACAGAAATTCCTAGAGGATTTGGATTTGGATTCAGTCACAGGGCCCCTGGTATAGGCTGTCTCTCATGCCCAGTGTCCCAGGCACTCTCTCCTTTCTTCTACCTCTCAGAATCTCTTTGCTGTTGTTCAGTTGTTTTCAGTTAAGTGTGGGACTCTTTGTGACCCTATTTGGAGTTTTCTTGGCAAAGATATTGGAGAAGGTTTGCAATTTCCTTCTCTAGTTCATTTTACAGATAAGGAAATTGAGGCAAACAAGGTTAAGTGACTTGCCCAGGGTCACACAGCAGGCCTAGCACTCTTACCTACTGCACCACAAAGCTTCCCTAGTCCCCTTACCAACCCTTGGGACTCACCTTCTTGAGTTTTTTTGTTTTGACTTCAACCTCCTGTTGCAGAGAGGTATAGGTTCCCCGGAGTTCCATGGTCTCTTCATCCCTCAACAACATCTCCTGTTGCATTTCACGCTCTTTGCGTTTCTAGGACAAAACAGTGAAGAGGATATTTAGCACAATAAGTATATGAAGAGGAGGAGGGTGGGTATCTAAGGAGTTGTTCTGGGCTTGACTCAAGCCGGTCCCCTGGTGGCATAGATTAGATAATGGAACAAAAAGAGATGCTCACATGTCAATCCACAGTTAACAAAAGGAGATTTACTTAGCAAGAAAAGGATGTTCAATAAGGATGGGCTTTGAGGACATCTCAAGTTAATTCAGCTGAGGGAGCTCCCTTTCCTCTGACGTGTATGGCAGCCAAGCATCAGAAGACTCCCACGAATGTTTTGTACTCGGGCGACCAGAAAGTGATGTTAACAGTCTGAATCCACCAAAGATGTAAAGATGGGCTCAGTACCTTTTCTGGAAAACTTGCAGGGGAGGAGAGGCTCAGCTATTGCTCCTACCACAGGAGCCAGCTAGATTTCCTGATTCATAGGAAATCAACTCCTTGAGAGTGGCTATTATTTCACTGCATAGATGTTTTCTGGTGGATTGACTGACATAGGGCCTCATAAGCAACAATCAGTTCACATGTCTCCTCGTAGAGGATGCCTCTTCTGATTCCCCCTCCTTCTGATGTCCTTCCCTACTGACATTACATTATACTTAATTGTATGCACATCTTGTTCTTCCTACTCCTCCAAGCTCCTTGAGGACAATGACTATTATGCTTTCATTCCCGTATCCCTAAGTGCATTTTAAAAATAAGTTGGAACTGTGATTTCATTGGTCTGGGACACTTCTAATAAGAAAACTACCTTTACCAGTGAAGATCTGTACCTGCTCTGCAACGTATATATAGTCTTGGTGAGTTTCCTGGGGTACTTGGTGGTGAAGTGACAGCTGGGATGTGTCAGAAGTGGGATGTGAACTTAAGGTTTTCTGATTTAGGGGCCAGCTCTGTATCTACTATGTCACTTTGCCTCCCACCTAGAATACAGTAGGTGTTTAATAAATTCTTGTTAAAAGAATGCATGAATGAAAGAAAAAAAGGAGGGGACAGCTAGGTGGTGCAGTGGAAAGAGCACCAGCCCTGAAGTCAGGAGGACCTGAGTTCAAATCCAGCCTCAGACTAAGCACTTGACACTAGCTGTGTGACCTTGGGCAAGTCACTTAACCCTAACTGCCTAATTATAAAAAATATATATAGCTATCAGAAAGAAAAAGAGCAGGGTCCTGAGCTCAAGAGACAGTATCTGTCTCCCAGCTACTTCGTATCCTCTGTGATTTCCTCATAGACCTGATGTTCCCATTCATCCTAACCCCAAATGTGACCTTTCCCCTCCTCAGCTTCCCCTACTGGGACAAGGTCGTTTGTTATCACAGTTACTGAGCCCTTTTTCACATCTCTCTGCTGAGATCCCAGTCCCAGCCTCCACATGGATCTGCAGGAATGGAGAAAAGCCGGGGTAAATTACAGGCATGATCTCAGTGTCATCTCTCCTACCTAAATATATTTCAACTTTTATGATTTAGGGATGGGTAATCTAGTCTGGATTGTTCTTGACCTTCCAAAGCTGATGTCATGGAAAGCAATTACCCTGCCTTCCCACCATCCACTGCTGTCAGAGACAGACTGTTGGACTGGAAGGACTCAGGCTGACTGCATGACATTTCTTATGCTCTCCTCACCTTCATTCCCTCCTGCCAAGGGAGAGAGCAAAGGGGGTGGGGTTCTAGGTGCTCGCAGGGTTTCCTTAGAGATAATTTTACTCTCCACAGGGAAGCCTGATTTAATGTCCTGGGATCTTAGATTTAGAGTTGGAAAGGGCCTTAGAGGCTGTCTAATCCAATTTCCTCATTTTACAGATGAGGAACTAAGGTAGCACAGGAAACAGAAGTGAGATTTGAAGGAAGGAAGGCAACAAGTATTTATTAAGCGCCTGCTATATGCCAGGCACTGTGGTAAGCTCTTTACAAGTATTATCTCATTTGATCCTCACAACAACTCAAGACCCCATTTTACAGTTATGGAGACAAATGTTAAGTGACTTGCCCAAGTGTCACACAGCTAGGAAGTGTTTGTGGCTGAATTTGAATTCACATCTCCCCTACCAGCGCTCTATCCACTACACCACCTAGCTAGCTGTCTGATCACTTAAACCCAGGTTCTCTCACTCCAAACCTTTTGGCCACAGCCAATTGGCCCAGAAGGATAGCATCCTTACCTGCTCAGCAATCTCCTGCCTTTTAAGCTCCAACATTTTTTGTTGCTCATTGGTATGATCCATGATATTTCGGCCTCCAATCAACAGCTTGCTCTCCATTGCCTAGGAGGGAGGAAGAGAGAGAGAGAGAGAGAGAGAGAGAGAGAGAGAGAGAGAGAGAGAGAGAGAGAGAGAGAGAGAGAGAGAGAAGGAAGTGGGTAAGAATCCAAAAGACCTTGGCAATAAGCTGATGGTTTCTTGTTTCCTCTACTGCATGGCCCCTGCAACACTTATACCAAATCCCATCCTAGGCCTTGTGCCTCTGGCTCCTCAGTGGGATCCAACATCTGTCTCCTCCCTCATCTCTTCCTAGACTCTTCTGCTTCTCACAAAGGTTCTCCTTGTTCCCCAAGTAAGGCTGAGAGGAGACCCTTGGGGGAGGGCAGGGCACCTGGTCTGTGTACCTCCCATTGTACAGCAAAAGTAGGGTGCCTGGCCAGTGCACCTCTACCATAGAGGGCAGATGATGGAGGTAGAATAAGAAGAAGGAAAAGGGGGAGTGCTGTCAACAGCGTTCTGTTCTGAAGCTGATGGTCCCGGCTGGAGTTAGGGAAAATAACAATCTCGATTAGGAGACCAGCACTGGGGCCTCTTGGCTTCCTATCTGGCTCAAAGGAGCTGATGAATGCAGTGCACTTTGCAAGCCTTAGAGCACTCTATAAATGCAGCTATTATTATCATTATCCAGCTCCTAACTAGTTTGCTTAATGATTGGAAGTGGCAGAAAGGGACTTCTTGGCTTAGGAAAGAATGAAGAGTGTTTATCTTCCAGTGTATAATGTGGGAGGAGAGAGAAGAGCTGAGGTGAAGGGCAAAGACTCTACGGTCATGTGATCACAGGTCATAGATTCAGAGTTAGAAGAGGACTTAATTCATCTAGTCCAGATGAGAACACTGAGACACAGAGAAAGGAAGTAATAGGACCAAAGACCAGTGATGAGCTCAAGTGCCACCCCGAGCAGGAGGCCTCTCCTGATTGTCCCACTTTCTAACAACACTCTGTGTTGTTCGGTCATGTTGGTCCTGTCCGACTCATGGTGACCCCTTCTGAGGTTTTCTTGGCAAAGACACTGGAGTGGTTTGGATTTCCTTCTCCAACTCACTTTACAGGTGAGGAAACTAAGGCAAACAGGGTTTACGTGACTTGCCCAGGGTCACACAACTAGTATGTATCTGAGGTTGCATTTGAACTCATGAACTAAGACCTGGGAAAAATGTTAGGTTAGAAAGGCTGAGGCCTCCCACTGCATCCGGGGCCGTGTCCAGTCATCCTGATCTGTCTCTGGTCACTGGACACAGATGGCTCTGGAGGACAGAGTGAGGCTGGTGACTTTGCACAGTCCTCCCTCACTTAAATCCAATTCACTTGCAAGTCACATCACCTTCCTGATGTCATCATCCTCTTAGAGAATGAAGGACAAACAACAATATGGAAATATGTCTTACATGATTGATAACCTATAGCAAATTGCTTCTTGTCTTAGGAAGGGAGGAAGGGAGGAAATTTGGAACTCAAAATTTTATAAAAAATGAATGCCAAAATTTGTTTTTACATGTAATAGGAAAAAATAAAATACTATTAAAAAAGTTATAATTGCCATCTCCACTTTCCTCTCCTCTTATTCATAGCTCAACCCTCCTTCTGGCCTTTGATCTAATCACTCAACTGAAACTATACTCTTCATAGTTAGCAATGATCTCTTAATGGCTAAATCTGATGGTCTTTTCTTAATACTAATCTTTCTCAACCTCTCTGCTATGTTTGGTACTCCTGACCACTTTGTCCTCCTAGACACCCTCTTTTCTCTGGGTTTTCACAATCCTCCTTCTCCTGATTTGATTCCTAGCAGTATGAACACTCCTTGTCAGTCTCCTTTGCTTGCTCATTATCCATATCACACTCCTTAACTGTGGATGTTTCCAAGGTTCTGATATTGGCCCTCTACTCAATTCATTCATTCATTCTCTCTCTGTCTCTGTCTCTGTCTCTCTCTCTCTCTCTCTCTCTCTCTCTCTCTCTCTCTCTCTCAGCAACCACATCAGTACCCATGGTTTTAACTCTCACCTCTGTTCAGGTGACACCAACATCTACACATCTAGCCCCAATATCGCCCCCATTTCAAATAGGATATACTAGAGACATCTTAAACTCCACATATATAAAACTGAATTTGTTATCTTTTCCCCAGACCCTCTCCTCTTCTAAATATTCCTATTGTTGTTGAAGGCATGAGCATCCTTTCATTGCCTCAGTTCATAATCACAGCATTGTTCTTGATTCCGCACTTTCTCACTCTCACCCCACTTATCTAATCAGTTGCTAAATCTTGTTGCTTCTACCTTCACAATATCTCTTATATCTGACCCCTTCTTTCCATTCACATAGCCTTAGTTCAGGCCCTCATCACTTGCTTAGATTATTAACACAATTTCAACTGGTCCCCCAGCCTCATGCTTCTCACCACCCCAACCCATCCTACACACTGTTGCCTATTTAATTTTCCTTAAATGAAGATCTGGCCATGTGATTCTCCTATTCAACCAACTCCAATTGCTTCTGAAATGAAATATAAACTCCCCTATTTCACTTTTTTAATGAATTTATTCTGATTTATCAACAATCACTTCCATAAGCTTTTGAGTTTTAAATTTTTCTCCCCCTCCCTCTCCACCTCCCTCCCCAAAATGGCACACAATCTGATATAGGCTATACATATACATTCCTATTGAACACATTTTCACATTAGTGATATTGTAAGTAAGAATTAGAACCAATAGGAGGAACTACCAGAAAGAGGAAACAAAACACAACAGAAAAAAAAAACCCAGCAAATAGTATGCTTCGATCTGCATTCAAACTCCATAGTTCTTTCTATGGATGTGGATAGCATTTTCCATCACAAGGCCTTTGGAGAGTCTTAGATCCTTGTATTGCTGGGAAGGGTTAAGTCTATCAATATTAGTCATCGCACAATGTGGCTGTTGCTGTGTACAACATTCTCTTGGTTCTGCTCACTTTACTCAGCACCAAACCATACAAGTCTTTCCAGGTTTTTCTGAAGTCTGCCTGTTCATCATTTCTTATAACATCCCTATTTCACTTTTAAAGCCTGTGCAATATGGCCCCAGCCTCAGTGCATAGTATCCCCCCCAAATTGGCCTTTGATCTGTTCCTCACTCACTACACTCTATTGCCTATCTCCATACTTTACCACCAATCATCCTGCATGCCAAGAACACACTCCATTGCTAACTTTTACCTAAGAGAAGCAACTCAAGCATCACCTTCTGAATGAACCCTGACTGATCTCACCAACTACTAGTGACCTCCCTCCCAGAATACCTTGTATTTAACTTGTATCATACATATACATGTACACACACACACACACACACACACACATTTATTTATTAACTTTATGCCTATGCTGCATGTGTTTTTATATGTACTTGTCTTTCCCATTAGAATGTGATCTCATCATGAGTAGGGATTGCTTCATTCTTTGTATGGCACAGTGCCTGGCACATATGACCGATACCTTGGATGAGGGTGTAGGGTATAGGATATAAGTTAAAATATCCAATTTAAGATATTGTGTTCATTCTTTCTGTAGTAGCAAAAAGCTGAAAACCGAGAGATTGCCCACCTATTGGGCTAAACAAATTATGGTATATGAATATAATGGAATATTATTATACCAAAGAAATGAAAAAATGAATAGTTTTAGAGAAAACTGGGAAGATTCATATGAACTGATACAGAGTATAGCAAGCAGACCTAGGAGAACAATTTATACATTAGCAATATGATATAAGTGTTTTGAAAGACTTGAGAAATCTGATAAATGCAATTAATATACAATAATTCCAGATGAATGAAGATGAAATATGCTATCTACCTCCTGACAAATGTGATAGACTCAAGATACAGAATAAGATATAATTTTTAGACATAGCTAATGCAGAGATTTGCTTGACTATGCAGACTTGTTACAGAGGTTTTCTTTTTCTTTTCTTCTTTTTGTTCAATGTGGATTAATGGGAGAGGAAGAAAATAAATGTTTAATTTTTAAAAATGTAAAAAGACATTGTGCTCCTTTAAGTTGTATAACTGCTTTATTTTTCAGCATCTCTCCCCACCTTATAAAAAGTAGAATGATGAAGCTAGTGATGCAGTAGATAGAATGTTGAGCTGGGAGTCAGGAAGACCTGAGTTCAAATCCAGTCTTAGAAACTTACTGCCTATGTAACCTTGAACAAGTCACTTAACTTTTTTTTTCTTTGTTTCAGTTTCCTCAACTGTCAAATGGGGATAAGAATAGCACCCACATCCCAAGGTTGTTGGGAGGATCAGATGAGGTAATATCTGTAAAAGCACTTAGCACAGTGCCTGGTACATAGTAGGCATCATATAAATGCTAGCTATTATTGCTGTTGTCATCGTTGAGTGAAATTTACTGAGCAGAGGAGCCAGGTCGCACAACCAGCAAAATGGATGGCTAGACATGTTCTCCAGTCCTAATAATTCTCAAAAAAATAAATAAATGAAACCAAAAAATCCTCAAAGAGGCATTATGTGACATAGGCACAGCAATTATAGCTGAATACACAGGAGAAGAAAAGTAAAAAGCCCAGTAAGGTAACTGCCTCAGAATTAGTAGTAGAGAACATTAATCCGAATTCACTCAGCACCCCTCCCCTACCGGTATACACTGGCAGGAGACATAAACTAACCTACGAGTCTGTGCTTTGGCACCCACTCCGAGATCTTCTTCCTGTTGAAGAGATTCTGCCAGGATGCACCTCCTCCCTGACTTTCCCCTACCATCCATTATAACAAGTAGCAGACATCAACTGTGCTCCGCCACATAGGGAGGAGGGAGAGCAGTATGAGAAGAGAGAAATGGGTTTCTTTCTAACTTGAGTAGTCCCTAGGTTAGAGACCCCCAAGACTCTGGAAACTCTACCCAGACTGCCCATCCTATCACCCCGCCCCCCAACTCTGTAAAAAATGACAGATGTTAGGTTAGCCCAGCTAGAGAGTTAGAGGACAGAATTGAAGT